GAACCAGTGGATGGATGATCTCTCTCTCTCTCTCTCTCTCTCTCTCCCTCCCTCGCTCTCTGCCTCTGCCTCTCTGTAATTATGCCTTTCAAATAAATTAACCTTAAAAAAATATATAAAAGCATGACATGTGTATTTACATATGTACATATAGATTCATGCGTAAAGCCAGTCTCAGAAACAATGAATAAACAATGTGGTAAAAAAATTAAATAATTAGATAAGATAGCATTAAGCTAAAATATTACGCATATTTCTTTATATGCACACAGGATTAGGCAGGAAGCAAGATGTCAAATACTCCAAAGAGAGGGAATAAACTTGTCAATTCCTCTGGGGTGAACACTCAGGTAGCCCTTCTTTGAATAAGTTTCTAAAGTACTGAGGTGTCTTTTTGCACTTAGCAAATTTCTGGAGAGAATACCCCGGAAAAGAGTTGAAGAGATTTATGAAGAGTTTAGGGTCCAACCAAGAGTGCTGGGGTTAGAAGCATAACATCCAGCCTGAAGATGGAACTAGAGTACAGAAAAGTAAATCGTGGATAGATTTTGTCATAAAGATTGGGTAAATATGACAGGGAGTAGGGGAAGGATGCTGGTTTGCAGAGGTTCATAGGGATACTCAACTTGGACTCATTCAAGGCCCAGCACCAGCTACTTTTGAGCCCAGGTGTAAACTGTTGTCTTAGTGTGATTTCAGAGGCTGGGTAGGCGAGGAGCCTGCTGCAGGGAAGACAGTCTTCTGTATCTGCCTCTGAACGGGGCTGGCACAGGTGGAAACGGACCAAGGCATCACAATCATTAATGGACCACTGTCCTCCCTCCTTTATGCCTCTCAAATCTGGTGAGTGTCCCATCAGAATCAGTCAGTGTTAATGTGAATATAGTTCTTATATGCTGCTTTTTAAAAATATTTATTTTCTTGTCTTTTGAGGGTGGTAAGAATTAAGTGTAAACAAGTAAATAGAACAGAAAAATGTTAATTTTTGTATAACTGATTTTGGGGTTTAATTGCTATGATAATACATAGCACATGAAATTTATAATTATTCTATGAAATGGAAAACATTGCCCTTGACATCTACACCATGAATTTACCCTTCCATAAGCTTATTTATTGAAACACATCCAAACCAGTTTTTATACTCCATTCAATACATTTTCAGACTTCCAGGAAACCCAATTCAAACCCCACATCTCCCATGAGGTCTTTTTTGTTCATTCCAACTTTAAATGATACCTTACTCTTATGGACACTCAGGTCACTCATTTGACCCTTTATGTATATTGCCTTGCATTATTAATTTTATTTTCCTGTTCTTATAATTAACTGGATTGTTCGTTCTTTGAGGAGGCAGTGATTGTGTCTTATCACCTCTGGACCCCTATTGACAGTTAAAGCGCTCAGTAGAGATTTACTGAACAGAATTTAAAGTCAAAGGTCTTGTCAGAGTATCTATTGCTTTATCTCCTCAGCTTCAGCACATGCCTTCTTTGTAACTAAACAACTAAAAATAGTACTAAGTACTAGCTTTGATAGGTTAAAACACTCTTGTTTAATTTTCTTTTTTTAACCAGTCTGTTCCATCTTTTTCAAAGCTACATTGTACTGCTAGAATTTGAAAATTCTCAGTTTGGTGATTTAGACCAAAACTACAAACTACAGGTAAATGTAAAAGTTGTATTGTAGTGATATTACTCATTTGTTTCCCAAACAAATACACAAATATGGTTTCCCAAACATTACACAATCCACATGGATACTTGGGAAATAGAGAAATCAATATAAACATATATGTGGTTTAACCATCTAAAATTCTACCACCCAAAGATGGCCACTATTAATTTTCTGAAGTATAATGCTTCATTAATAGACTTACTTTGTACTGCTTACCTGCCTGGGTCCTTCCTAAATGAAATTATCCTACCCATAGCCTTCCGCCCTACGAAATTCATAACGTCGTCATATTACCCCAGCTGTGGGTAAGCATTCCCTAAGGGAACTCATGAACTGCTTGTCCAGGAACAAACCTGGATCAATCAAATTAGCCAAGAAACTAATTCTGTCTTGAAATTTTAAACTAAAACCACAGTTATCAAGAGAATCTGAAACAGAAAGGTTATGAAGTTAAATGTACAAGGAGCACGTATGAGGAGCAAGACAGCTGAAAGTAGAAGAGAAAGAGGCTGGGTATGATTGAGTCAAGTTAGAGGGAAATGCAGGAGGGAAGACAGTGAATTCTGAGTCTCCAGGGCCTACTGAAATCCAGAACTTCCTCCAGCTCCAGAATCTATGAAATCAACTGTACAAAGGCTTCAACTTCTGGATTCCCAGACTTCCTTTCAAGTTGCTAATGTAATCTATCAAGGAGCTCTCTTTACTCAAACTAGCTTGAATATGTTCAGAACCAAACTAAGGAATTATCTAGGCTTTCTCCGCAGGTGTGTGTATATATATATATATATATATGCCCATAAATTAAACAGAAACATGATGTATGGTCAGTCTCCTATTTTGCAACTAGAACACTTTCATTAATTGTGTACAGGAGGTAATTTATTTTCTGCTTATTTACTAAGATAGGTGATAGCAGTACAGAAAATCAAGTATTGTAAATAACTCCAATTTCCACCTCTTAGGATCATCAAATAAAATTGTCGGTGTATTTGTTACCTTTAAACAACTCACTGCAGCTATACTTCACCTAGCCTTTATTTTTTTAAGAATTTTATTTATTAATTTGAGAGGCAGAGTTACAGAGAGAGAGACAGAGAGAAAGGTCGTCCATCTACTTGTCCATCCCCCAAATGGCCACAACAGCTGGGACTGAGCCAACCCAAAGCCACGAGCCAGGAGCTACTTCCAGGTTTCCCATGCAGGTACAGGGGACCAAGCACTTAGACTGTCTTCCACTGCTTTCCCAGGCTTGAGGGAGAGAGCTGGATTGGAAAAGGAGCAGCCTGGACACGAATCAGCACCCATTTGAGATGCTCCACTGCAAGTGGAGGCTTAGCCTATTAAGCCACGGGGCTACCCCAACCTACTCTATTTACTGGTTTGCTTGTGGCCTTTTACTAGAGAGAAATTAACTATCAAGATAAAAAAATCACCTAAGAGTTTAAATCACCTGTAAAAAAATTATCAGTGAACTTATATTTGCATTTTAATGATCCTAACGATGACTTTTCCTGTAACTAGGCTATAGTTTCATGAACAGACTATTTGATAACTTTCATATGAAATATTCTTACATACCTTTAATAATGTGTGGTTTACAATTCATTCTGCATTATTTTTATAACCATGAATATATAACCAATTCATACAGGAAGTAGATTTCTCCTCTTGTAGACTTTAGGGCAGTCTAATTCACCTTTCAAGAGGTCTCTGCTAAGAAATACTGTGGAAGTGTTTGATAATTATTGCCTGTATATGGTTCATGAGGAGAGAGGCCACATTATAGTACATAAATGAGGAACCCAGAATTAATTTCAGTTTTCTTATCTGTAAAATTGAATTAATTTCCACTTCATAGATATGTTAAGGATTAAATGAGACACATATATGAAGTCATTTAGTTAGCCTCAAATGTATGTGGCACATATGTATTCAGTAATTGCTCACTGTATTTTAGTCAGAATTATGCACCCTTGGGAAACTGAACATTGTCTTTGATTTAGCTTGAAGCTTATGAAATCTCCCAAGAATTTTTGACAGACTTTATAGAGGTAGTTCTATTTATAAATCCTCAGAAAAACATGGGGGAAGACATAACACTCCCCCCAAGAAAAAAGTCAAATCTGTTTTCTACTCACATCCACATAAAGTACTGAAGACATATGGTAGAATGAGAACCCCCAAATTCTTTTGTGTTATTTCTAACATAACCTAAGTTTGGACACAGTGGATTAGATTTATTCAGGTTAACCAGATGGTACTGAAAAACAGGTTAAATGAATCATCTCATTCTTAAGTAAAAGGAGGAAATGAACTTTAAATGAGCTAGTAGAACAAAAACATTGCCACAGAAGGGACTTGCTTCTGAAGAATGAGACCAATGGAGCACCATAAGGCAGACAAGGAGGAGTACTGGCAGTCAGCTGTGGGAACTCATATTGGCTTGAAAAAGCCAGTTTTCAGGAATTCTACAAGCTAGGTTTTAAAGATGGATGTTAATAAAAATTAACATACATTAACTTGAAATGCAATAAATATTCATAACATTATTTACTAAATATTTTACTGAATTTTTAATATTATCTATTCTTTTCATTTATGTCTATTCTGTCTGTACAATGGAAATAATATTTAATCGTGTGCTCTTGGGTTATCTCTTCACAACTTTGAGTTCAGTGCTATCTTACTGGTGGCTTAAAATCAGCCAGGATGGGAATATATGTACCACTGAAATCTGCAAATGTGGTAAATCAGGGTTTTTTTTTCCCTTCTACAGAGCCAATTGGTAAACATTACTATTCACTTCCTATCGATTTGCAGAAAGACATAAATTCTGACCAACTCTTGGCTTTAGATTGAGACAGGTCCTTAGAACCTTGTTGGGAAACTGTAGAGTCAAAATCAAAATGGAGTGAGTATAGCTAAAAGCTAATTGCAGACCTCTTACTTCTGTACATATTAGCTTTGCTTGCTAACGGCTAAGGGTATATTTTGTGAAACTATGTGGGCCCAAATTCCCAGGAACTAGGTTGACAAAAATGTGTCCTGCACTGTTATCTTGCAACCATATCTTGGATCTGTTAACGGGTTTGTTATTGTTAACTATTATCTTACAACCATATTCTGTTTTTTTTTTTAAATTGTTTACTGCATACCAGGGGTTCAGTTCAAAATTGTGAGCCCTAGTGGACAGACTACTATAAAAAGCTGTGTAACTCGCTGTTGGAGGCCACACTCTGGTAAGGTCCTGATCGGTTGCCTTGCCTCATTTTCAATAAAATTAATGTGTGACTGTCACTTATTTTTGTAATATTCTATTTTAGCTGACAGGTGGATGCAACAAGACAATCCTGCAGGAGCCTCTCAGGTTTCCACACTTCTTGAGGGACAAGGCCCTGACCATGGTTCACTCTGAACTATCAGATCAAGATGTTAAGGTGAACAGCTGTGAAAGGTACAGTGTCTCTTTCCAGAGCAAAAGCCGACATGCTTATTGCCATGATCAGGTCTGATAACTTCTGGGCTCCTCTTCTATAACTCAGTCCACTTCCTGCGAATGCATTTATATGGGCCTACTTGTATCACCTGGCACAGGCCTGGCTATTTTGGGCATTTGGAGAGTGAACCACACATGGAAGACAATCTCTCACTCTCCTTCTCTCTCTCTCTCCCTCTCCTTCAAATGAGAGAATAAAAAAGAAATAAATAATCTTTAAAAATGTTTAGTATTTTCAAGTCAGTGTCTATTTTATTTCTCAAAAACGAGTATGGAAAGCATAGCAATAGAAAGATGATCCATTATACAACAACATGAACTTAAAGGTAGACAACATTTTTCTAAATCAGGTCCTCTGCTCGCTTTAGCTTTGGAATTTATTAGCACTTAAAAAAACAGTGACGTTTTCATCATTTAAAAATAGTTAAGAACAGCAGGAAAATTATCATGCAAAACAAGAGACCTTTTTTAAACACAATGAAGACCAGCTGATTCCATCATTTTTTTCCTATCCTGTACTTCATTAAACTGGATTCAAAATACAAGAGAAGAAACAGAATGTGTCTACTACATAGCACCAACCTAGAGAATATTATTAAGGCACATTTATAGTAACAACCCATGTTTTTGCTGACTTTCACAACTTCAAGAACAACAAATGCTCTCAAAGTCTCTCCATTTCTACCTAGGAGTCCCCAGCCACAGACTCTGATTTTACTGCTGACAAAGAGGCAACCAAAGAGACTGTGGCTCTGCAGGAGCCAGCCTCCAGGATTTAAATTGAGCTCTCTGGAAATTTCAGCATGACAAAGCAATGCCTTGTTCCTTCTGAAATGGGGAGAAAGCACCTTTTTTGTCTTTCATGGAAATCCAGGAAGAGTTGCTTAGTGCCTAATCTCACAGAGGTTCTGGGCTTTCTTACTCTCAGCTCCTCTTCCCTGTAAGACCCAAATGGTACTGGACCAGGGGCACAGCCAAGAAGCTGACACGATACAACACATAAAATCCAGGCTCCCTTTGACGCCAAAAGCATCTCATAGGCCAGCTTCTCCCTGACTTACACTTCTGAGTTTTTTTCCTAGAGGTTTCATTTAGGTATGCAAATAGACCACATGCAGACTCAAGCCCCTTGCCAGCCAGACTTGTTTGAATGCTAGCAGGAAATACAGCTTAGCCTCCATTGGTGAAGCTTACCCTTCTACTGGGAGAGCAGCCGAAGATGACACAAGTGCTGAGCCCCCCCAACCACATGGAAGACCCAGATGGAGTTCCAGGCTTCTGGCTTCAGTGTGGCCAGGCCCTGGTTGTTGTGGCCATTTGGGGAGTGAACCAGCAGATGGAAGATATCCCTCCCCATCCTCCTCCTCCTGCCACTCCCCCTCCCTTTCTTTCTCCCTTTCTCTCTGTAACATTGCCATTCAAATAAATAAATAGGGTCCTGCATTATGGTGTAACTGGTTAAGCTACCACCTGCAATGCCAGCCTCCAATCTGGGCTCTGGTTTGAATCCTGGATGCTCCACTTCTAATCCAGCTTCCTGCTAATGCACCTGGGAAAACAGTGGAAAATAGCACAAGTGCTTGGGCCCCTGTACCCATGTGGGAGACCTGTAGGAAGCTCCTGGCTCCTGACTTCGCCTTGGCCCGATCTCGGCCATTGCAGCCATTTGGGGAGTGTACCAGCACAAGAAAGACCTTTCTCTGTCTCTCCCTCTCTCTCTGTAACTGTGACTTTCAAAATAAATAAATCTTAAAAAAATCTTTAAAAAAATAAGTGCTGAATTAATTTTATATCAATACAAAAAAGAGTATAAATGTATACCTAATACCATAAACATATATTAATTTAAAATGCACCAAAGACCTAAATGTAAAATCTAAAACTACAAAACTTCTGGAAAAAAATACAGGAGAAATTACTGTGACTTTGGGTTAGGCAAGGAATTCTTAGCTATGCCACCAAAAATACAGTAAAAGTAAATTTTTAGTTGATAAACTGGTGCTGTTCTCTGAACATTTGTATCTTCCCCAAATTCCTAAACTTGGAGCCTTTCCAAGCTAAGTAAGCCATGAAGGCAGAGCTGTCATAAATGGGTTAAACTCCTCATAAAAGAGACCCAGAAGAGCTAGCCTGCCCCTTCCACACGTAAGAACACAGCAACAAGGCCCCACATATGAAACGTAAGACAGGCTTTCACCAGACCCTGAAGCTGCTGGTGTCTTGGATCTTGGAGTTTCTAGCTTCCAGATCTGTGCAAAATAAATTTCTGTTATTTGTAAGCTACTACCCAATTTAAAATATTTTGTTATAGTAGACCAGATAACTAATTGGCTTTGCCTCTAATAATCTTTCGATCAATTTTTTGAATTCTGTTTCCAGCATTTCTTAAATCTCTTTAACTTCACATTCTAGTACTGAAATGTTGTGTTCCTTTGGGGACATCATGTTGTCTTCCTTATTCTTGTGTCTTGAATTTTGCATTTATTTTTAGGCATTTGTGGAGATACTTTTTTTTCTTCTTCTTCCCTGTGATTGCTTTTATCTTTGAACTATGCCTCTGTGGCTAGTGGAGTGTCAGTGAATACCTGGAGGCATGCGTTGGATGTGGCCTGGGAGCTCTGTTCAGTGCTCCAGGGTGAGAGGAGTGTTCAAGGTGACACCCAAGTTGGGTGTAGTAAATCACCCCCCCTCCTTTTTTTTTTACTCAGAGGGGAGGGTTTGATCAGCTTTGCTGGCATGGTCTCACACTCATCTCCTTTCCTCCAAGGGGTCCAATGCCCAGGCCCTAGCCCCAGTGGGTGTAATATTCATCCGTGCTGCCACAAGAACCACACAAAGGATATGTGCAGACCTCAGTGTGAGCACGGATCCTTGCAGCAGTGACTCTCATCAGGCAGTCAGGGAGCCCTGAGTGTGTAGAGCCGCCCATGATGAATGCTCTGAAACCCAGCCACACCCTGTGACCTCCCACGCAGCCAAAGTGTTTTCACAGTGTGTCCCAACACACATGGCTCCCTCAGTCATGAATGCCCAGTCCCCTATCAATTCTCTCAACCAGACTCAGCTGGATGTTGGGCACACAGACACAAGAGGGCATGGCTGTTATATATGCTCAAAGTGGTACCCACCCCTCTCAGCTAGTTACAGGACACCAGTACCAGGTGATTGGGGAAAGAGAAATGTGTTCTCTTTTTCTTTTCCCTCTTTTTCTTTTATTTCCTCTAGGTTGGCAGGTACACTATCCCCCACAGGGCTCCAAGCCAGACTTGCACCAGGCCCATCCCACAGCTTTATCGCCAGAGGCTTGAACTAGTGCAGTCTGGTCTCATTTCACTCTCCAAAGCTAGTGCTGAGGCTCTCAGTAGAAGGGGTCCTGAATTGGGGGTGTCCACATCCTCCACAGAGATCCACAGTGTCCCTAAAGTTTGCATGGAGTTTCCTCTGCAGTTTTCCCCCTAACTCTTCCCTAAGATTGCACTCTCTCCACTTTTTTTTTTTTTTTTAAACTATCTTCCCCTAGACTGGAGCAGTAAGCACCCTCACTATTCCATCTTGGAATCTCCTAATCTGGCAACTCTAAATGCAAATTACCAGTTCCTGTACCACACCTATAAGCCAGAAATTCTGGTCATGGGATCCATAGTCCATGTGGTAACAAGCCCTCCAGGTGATTCTCATCTTTCCAGTTCAAGAAGTACTGTTCTGCATCACATGTTTGCCCAACCTCATCTGCTCCCACGACATTTGCCAAAGTGCAGATACTGTGAAATACTGATTTTTGTTCTTCTGAATGTTATTTAACCAGACGGCCCACCCCCACATGGAAAACCAGGAGGAATACAAGAACAAAATTATCAAGTTCTTGGCTTTAGAACAATTTTTACCTGTCTAGATGTGAGACAGAGAGATCTGGGAGAAGATAGTGTCATGGAGAATCCATTTGTCTCTTCTCTGCTATGCAAACTTTTGAGCTTTAGCACAAAGTTTGTGAGAAAAGTTAAAAGATACACACTGGCTGAATGGATTAAAAGACATTACCCATCCATTTGATGCCTACAAGAAACACATATAACCAAAAAAGATACACGCCAACTGAAAGTGAAAGAATGAAAAAAGATATTCCATGCTAACAGGAACCAAAAAAGAGCTAGCGAACCTATCCTAATATCAGAAAAAATAGAATTTAACACAAAAACTGTTAAAAGAGACAAAGAAGGGCACTATGTACTGATTAAGAGATCAATTCGACTGGCGCCACAGCTCATTAGGCTAATCCTCCGCCTGTGGCGCCGGCACCCCGGGCTCTTATCCTGGATGGGGCGCCAGTTCTGTCCTGGTTGCTCCTCTTCCAGTCTAGCTCTTTGCTGTGGTCCAGGAGTGCAGTGGAGGATGGCCCAAGTGCTTAGGCCCTGCACCTCATGGGAGACCGGGAAGAAGCCCCTGGCCCCTGGCTTTGGATTGGTGCAGCACGCCAGCTGTGGCAGCCATTTGGGGGGTGAACCAACAGAAAAAGGAAGATCTTTCTCTCTGTCTCTGTCTCTGTCTCTCTCTCTCTCGCTGTCTAACTCTGCCTGTCCAAAAAAAAAAAAAAAAAAAAAATCAATTCAACAGAAAGATATGAGTATAATGAAAATATATGCACCTAATTACAGAGTACCAGGCTATTTAAAAGAAATGTTCATGGATCTAAATGGAGAGATAGACTCCTATAAAATAGCAATGGGAGACTACAATATAACACTTTCATCAATGGACAGATCAACCATACAGAAAATCAGCAAAGAAACGACAGTTAATCAACACTATAGACCACATGGAGCTAATGGATATCTACAGAACTTTTCATCCTACTATTGCAGAACACACTTTCTTCTCGCCAGTGCATGAAACTTTCTCTAGGACAAACCACATGCTAGGTCATAAAGCAAGCCCAAGCAAATATAAAAAATTGAAATCATACCATGCATCTTCTCTGATCACTATGGAATGAAGCTGGAAATCAATAACTTAAGAATCTCTAGAACATAGGCAAATACAAGGAGACTGAACCACATGCTCCTGAATGAACTTTTGGTCATCGATGAATCAAAAGAGAAATCAAAAAATTTCTGGAAACAAATGAAGACAACAATACAACATATCAAAACATGGGGGATACAGCAAAAGCAGTGTTAAGAGAAAAGTTTATGGCAATTGGTGCCTACATCAAGAAATTGAAATAGCAGCAAATAAATGAGCTATCAATGCATCTCAAGAACCCAGGAAAACAACAACAAACCAAACCCAAAACTAGCAGGAGAAAATAATTAAAATTAGAGAAGACATAGACAAAATTGAAACAAAAAATACAAAAGAACATTAAAGCAAAAAGTCGATTTTGGAAAAAAATAAACAAAATTGACACACCAATGGCCCAACTAACCAAAAAAAGAATAAGAAGACCCAAATCAATAAAATTAGAGATGAAAAAGGAAATGTCAAAACAGGTACCTCAAAAATACAAAGAATCATCAGAAATTACTACAAAGAGCTGTATGCCAAAAAATCGGGAAACCTAGAAGAAAATATATACATTCTTGGACACATACAACCTACCTAAAATGAGCCATGAAGACATAGGAAACCTAAACAGACCAATAACCAAAAGGAAATTGAATCAGTAATAAAACTCTCCCAACAAAGAAAAGACCAGGGCTGGATGGCTTCATTGCTGAATTCTACCAGACTTTAAAGAAGAACTAAATATAATTCTCAAACTATTTAAAACAATTGAAAGGCAAGGAATTCCACCAAACCCCATGAAGTCAGCATCACCTTAATTCCTAAACCTGAAAAAAACACAACAGAGAAAGAGAGCTATAGATCAATTTCCTTGATGAACATAGATCCAAAAATTCTCAACAAAATACTGGCTGATCGAATCCCACAACACATCAGGAAGATCATTCACCCAGACCAAGTGGGATTTATTCTAGGTATGCAGAAATGGCTCAAAACTTGCAAATCAATGTGATACATCACATTAACAAACTGAAGAATGAAAATCATATGATTATCTCAATAGTTACAGAGAAATCATTTGATAAAATACAATATCCTTTCATGATGAAAACCTTAAGCAAACTGATTATAGAAGGAACATTCCTCAACACAATCAAAGCAATTTATGACAAACCCATAGCCAGAATCCTATTGAATAGGGAATAGCTGGAAGCATTCCCACTAAGATCTGGAACCCGACAAGGATACCCACTCTCATCATTGCTATTCAATATAGTCCTAGAAGGTTTAGCCAGAGCCATTTTGCAAAAAAAAAAAGAAATCAAAGGGATACAAGATGGGAAATAAGAAGTGAAACTATCACTATTTACAGATGACATGATTCTATAGGGAGGGATTCCAAAACACTTCATTAAGAGCCTATTGGAGCCAGCGCTGTGGCTCACTAGGCTAATCCTCCGCCTTGCGGCGCCAGCACACCAGGTTCTAGTCCCGGTCGGGGCGCCGGATTCTGTCCCGGTTGCCCCAGGCCAGCTCTCTGCTATGGCCCGGGAGTGCAGTGGAGGATGGCCCAAGTGCTTGGGCCCTGCACCCACATGGAAGACCAGGAGAAGCACCTGGCTCCTGGCTTTGGATCAGTGCGGTGCGCCGGCCGCAGTGCGCCGGCCGTGGCGGCCATTGGAGGGTGAACCAATGGCAAAAGGAAGACCTTTCTCTCTGTCTCTCTCTCTCTCACTATCCACTCTGCCTGTCAAAAAAAAAAAAAAAAAAAAAAAAAGCCTATTGGAACTCATAAAAGAATTTGGTAAAGTGGCAGGAAATAAAACCAACACACAAAAATCAATAGCCTTTGTATACATGAACAATGCCATGGTTGAGGAAGAACTTCTTCTTCTTCTTCTTCTTCTTTTTTTTTTTTTTTTTTTTGACAGGCAGAGTGGATAGTGAGAGAGAGACAGAGAGAAAGGTCTTCCTTTGCCGTTGGTTCACCCTCCAATGGCCGCCACAGCCGGCGCGCTGCGGCCGGCGCACCGCGCTGATCCGATGGCAGGAGCCAGGAGCCAGATGCTTTTCCTGGTCTCCCATGGGGTGCAGGGCCCAAGCACCTGGGCCATCCTCCACTGCACTCCCTGGCCACAGCAGAGAGCTGGCCTGGAAGAGGGGCAACCAAGACAGAATCTGGCACCCTGACCGGGACTAGAACCTGGTGCGCCAGCGCCGCTAATCGGAGGATTAGCCTATTGAGCCGCGGCGCCGGCCCGAGGAAGAACTTCTAAGATCAATCCCATTCACAATAGCTACAAAAAATTAAATAACTTGGAATAAATTTAACCATGGATATCAAAAGATCTCTATGATGAGAATTATAAAATATTAATGAAAGAAGTAGAATAAGACAAAAATTGAAAAATTTTAATATTCATGGACTGGAAGAATCAATATCATTAAAATATCCATACTACTGAAAACAATTTACAGATTCAATGCAATACCAATTGAAATACTAGGGACATTCTTCTAAGATATAGAAAAAATGATGCCGACATTCATATAGAAACACAGAAGACCCTGAACAACTAAAGCAATTTTATATAACAAAAACAAAGCTGGAGGCATCACAATACCAGATTTCAAGACATATTATATGGCAGTCATCATCAAAACAGCCTACTACTGGCACAAAAACTGATGTGTAGACCAAGGGAGTTGAACATAAACTCCAAAAATCAACCCACACATCTATAACCAACTTTTTTTTAAAAGATTTTTATTTATTTATTTGACAGGTAGAATTACAGACAGTGAGAGAGACAGAAAGGTCTTTCTTCCATTGGTTCACCCTCCAAATGGCTGCAATGGCTGGAGCTGTGCTGATCCAAAGCCAGTAGCCAGGTGCTTCTTCCTGGTCTCCCATGCGTGTGCAGGGGCCCAAGTAACTGGGCCACCTTCTACTGCTATCCCAGGCCATAGCAGAGAGCTGGATTGGAAGAGGAGCAACTGGGACTAGAACTAGCACCCATATGGGATGCCAGTGCCGAAGGCAGAGGATTTACCTAGTGAGTCACGGCGCCGCCCTCTACAACCAACTTTTTTAACAAAGGAGATAAAATCAATCCTTAGAGCAAAGACAGTCTCTTCAACAAATGGTGCTGGGAAAACTGGATCACACACAG